AGCCAATAGCCAAGTGTGGCATTAAACAAACCAACAAACATAATAATCCTAATTCATATTTTGCAATGGAACTGCAAGGAAAGTGAAATAATCCATCTTATTAAACTGATAAAATTGAAGACAAAATAGGAATAAATTAAATAAATACACGTATCAATTATCATGGAGTTATTTTTATTTTATTTCTTTTCCAATCCACATGCCCTTAGCAGACAAATTTGTAAATCTAATTGTGATATTTATCAATTAATACCTTTTCAATATTTCCATTCTTGTCAATTTTGAGGACTTAATTGACAAAAATAGACATTTTGAAAAAATATTTAGTGATAAATATCACAATTATATTTACAAATTTGCAAACTAGGAGCACATAGCTTGGAATCTTAGTGTCATTTCTTTACAATGGAATATCCAATATATGAACAGGTAAAGATGAATGCTCTCTTTTTCACACAAATATACATGATATTTGATGCCAAACATCAGGATGACAGATGATAAAAATTAGAATAATTGATTTGTTAGTTTGTGGTTTGAGGCACAGTAAGCTCTATTTCCCCATATCCCAGTGGCCTGTGTTTAATGAGAATGGTAAGACAAAACAGTGGTGGATATCATCAGCAACTCCAAAGGTGTCAGGATACGGTGACACACCATCAACCAAGGCCTAAAAAATGATGTTGTGGTTCCGATTAACTCATCGACCCATGAATTCTGGTGTTATCCCTATTTTTTTAGGCGGTATGAATAAAATAAGCTTTCAGATACCCTTGTTTTTTCACTGGCACCGATGGACATCGGTCATTCTGAAAGTCGACATAATGGCTGCAAGCTTGATTAATAAACAATTATAATTTATACATTGATAATGTGTTATTAGTTTGTACTTTAATTCTAAATAAAATGTAAAATAATCCTACCTATATGACCCTAAATTTTAAAGAGGTGTAATCAGAACCACAAAAAAATATTATTTGGCCCAAGTCACTGAGCCAGACCGACAAATCCAATTTAATCACAATGGACATGATTCAGTAATGGGGAAATATTCTAACCTGAGTCACCTTCGGGTTCATATGAGGTTAATTTCATAAAGTCATAAATAAAGTTTCAATGAAAATACAGAAAACACGAAACATTTTTTAACAAAATTAAGGAATGCTAATTCATAGAAAACAAAAAGGACAGGCCTTTATAATGAATGTTGAATGAGATGTTGTCAGGAATGCAGTCTCAAAGTGTGAAAGCAAAAAGTGTTCCCTAATAGCCTCCAACCCCATCAACTGCTCATTAACATGCACAAGGATGTTATCTTGACAACATGTTAAATTAACATCAGCATGGGGTATGACAAAGCCTGCCACCCGAGGACAAACAAAATCCGGTTGTTTTGTTGAGACGGAGGACAGCTCCACCCCTCAATACCCCCCATCGCCAAGCGGATCCAGCCTGAGGCTGGTGGTGGGAGGGACTGGGGTAAATCAGAGTAATTCTCAGTGGGAGCTCGGCATCACCCCAGCAACCCAGCCCCCTCCCACCCCCCTGGCAGCTTGGCAGTGCATGCACCTGTCTCTCCCGGCACTGTGTGAGAACAGTATACATACATACATTAGTGATATATGACATATACTCTAGTCCTGGGCTCTTCTAATTAATTCACTTTGCATCACAGGGGGTTGGAAATTGTACCCTAACATGTTTGATAATGAAAATGAATCAGGAACGTTGTGACATTGTCAGGTTAAAAGTTTAACTAAGTTATGTAGGGAGTGAAGAGGTGCTGGATGAAATATGTACATAGTACTGGAGGAAATATAGGTGCATGTGCGTAGTTTATCAAAAAGTAAACTGGAAGGGTACATTTGCCAATAAAGATGCAGGATGATAGAGTTGTCTCTGAGGGTACTGGAGGGTACTTGAAAGTACATAGGGTATTTGAGGGTACATATGGCATGGAGGCTGGTGTTAACAGAATATGACTGGGTGGGGTGTTACATGAATTGGTAGGGTGTTACATAAATGGGAAGGTTGTTACACAAAAGGGGGTAGGGTGGTATATGCATCGATACTTGAAGATATAGTTGCACTGGTACAGCACAGTGATAGGGATACAGTGGTACATAATTGGGTAGGGTGATACATTATTGGGTAGGGTGGTACATGATTGGGTAGGGTGGTACATGAATGGGTAGGGTGGTACATGATTGGGTAGGGATACATGATTGGGTAGGGTTATACATGATTGGTAGGGTGGTACATGATCGGGTAGGGTGATACATGAATGGGTAGGGTGGTACATGAATGGTAGGGTGGTACATGATTGGGTAGGGTGATACATGATTGGGTAGGGTGATACATGATTGGGTAGGGTGATACATGAATGGTAGGGTGGTACATGATTCGGTAGGGTGATACATGATTGGGTAGGGTGGTACATGAATGGTAGGGCGGTACATGAATGGGTAGGGTGGTACATGATCAGGTAGAGTGAGACATGAATGGGTAGGGTGGTACATGATCAGGTAGAGTGAGACATGAATGGGTAGGGTGGTACATGATCAGGTAGAGTGATACATGAATGAATAGGCTGGTACATGATCAGGTAGAGTGAGACATGAATGGGTAGGGTGGTACATGATCAGGTAGAGTGATACATGAATTGGTAGGGTTGTACATGATCAGGTAGAGATACTTGAATGGGTAGGGTGGTACATGATCAGGTACAGTGATACATGAATGGGTAGGGTGGTACATGATCAGGTAGAGTGAGACATGAATGCGTAGGGAATGACAAGTTGTCAACAAGGTTTCTAAGAGTGACCATCAAATCCACCTAGTGACTGACCTTCTAATCCACACAGTTTCCTCCTTTAACAAACATATACTGTTGGGGACAGTAACCTAACTCTAACCTAGACTCCCCACAGAGGCTCATACAGTGGCACCAAAACATGGAGTGTGTTCTAGTAAATCAGTGTTTCTGCACATAATTCGTGCACAGAGTTTGGCTTGAACATTGAGTTTGTAAAAGAAAGCAAAAAATGTCATCAGTGAAGGTCAGGTATCATCAAACATTATAATTGTGATGGTTGTTCAAAAAATAGAAGCTGAATGACAAAGATCCTGGACACAACAGAAAAGTTAAAAATTTAAGATTTGGGACCTCCATACATTCAAATGCAATAATAGAATACCTCAAGGACCTAAGTGCCCCCTTAATTATTAACACTGAATTGTTTTGTACAGGACGCGAGACATTTTGCCATATTGGTAATGAACTGGCACAGAGACAACTTATGGTGCGGATAGGTGTCTTGTATATGAGTCATATTAACTATTGTGCATTGTGACTTACCACACTCAGTTCTTATCACAATGTGATATATCATGATAGTACACACATGTCAGGACATACAAAGATATCTGGTTATGGCTTGATAAATATTTATTACATTTTGGGGTATGCCTAACCATGACTGACATGTGATTAGCATATTAGGGAACTATGGAAATGGATGGATATGAGCAATGGAGATTTGAAAAACAATCTGCTCATGTTTAAACATGATGTTATTTGACAAATGTTGCTTAATTTCTATGTAATTCTGCTGACAACCACTTATACAGTCACAGACTGAACAGGGAAATATTTGAATGAATTAAAAACTGAAATTCTAAATGTGTTTCAGTTCATGGTTCAGTCCGCTCAACTGTAACTGTCATTGACATTTGGAGAAAAAAATGAAATTGGAAAATACAACATTAAAACAGCCCGTGTAAATTGAGACTATACTTAATAGCCCTGAACACCAGTCTAACTGTGACCATGTCTCAGGAGGAATGTAGGATCACTCACAGCTGGACATCTAAATCACCATGACAACACCTCCCCCATTACCATGGAAAAACCCCTCCCTACCCCCTGGGTCAGGTTGTGTTCAATATCCCCACCCCAGGGGGTTTGCGCCAAGAGAGGAGAGAGGCTATCACTCGGCTGATACTGCCAGCAGGGTGCCCTGTTCCTCACTTTATCACAACCAGCACAATAGCTGATGAAGGCACCCCTTGGTAACTGGCAACATTCACCTAGCAGAAACAGGTGACAGTCGGCTGTGGAGATATTGATCAACAAGGCCATGTAATACAGAGGGACCATAATGAAAGACACAACTGACACATAGAGTGGTTGACCTTATTTAATTCACTACTGTGACACACTTAATTCTGACTTCTTATCAAACTCATTGTCTCAAAATATCAATAATACATTACGAAAATGATAACTGAGAAAATACATCCTTCAAATATATCTGTTTTACCATGTAACACTACAGGAGTACTGTCAGATGAATTCTGATAACCAGTGTGTAATCAGAACATATTTTTAAAAAAGTAGTACATTTGAAGATGGGAAAGATATTACTCTTACTACGTGAATGCTTCCCTTCCTGTGAGGGAATCAGGCTAGAAAACATATGATGAAATTTGGTCCTGTCCTGACATCTATGCTGGCATCCCAATCAATTTTAACTGACAAATCAACGACTACAAGCGTAATCAATATTCCATTCATTATTATGACTTCAGTGATAGTAGCATACGAGCAGACTGAACGCTGAGCACGATGAAGCGGACAAGAGATTCATTTACAAAACCATATCATGTCATTCTGGACAAGTTAAATGAGACATTTCACCACAGACAAGATGTAAAAATTCTAACAAGACGCCATATGAAAAGAAAATCCCAAAACGTGTTACTTCCAATCTAGTTCGTCTCACTTGTTCACTTCCAGGAACTAAACCCTACGCCTCTCACTCAATCGTAAGACCCCATGTGACAGTCATTCCACTCAAAGCGACACTATTTCCTGCAGTGTCAGACTGCCAGTAGCTGAGATTTCACCATACAAGAAACGCCGAGTACTGTCACATACAAAGCACTGACAACAATCACAGCACACTAAACACATAGATCTATACATAATCTTTACTTACGTTTGCAAGATTTAGGTCGTGCTTGTTTTCGGCGCGACATTTCAGACCCTGGTTCCCCAACGCAGCTTGTCTGAGAGAGCGCACGGCGCTGTATTCCGCTGTTGAAAGCTAAAACCCAGCATGTGGGCCCAAGCTACGTCATGAAATGAATATTGAATTGCCCTGAAACTAACTGCGCCCAAGGGGGGCTCTCCCCTGGGACCCAACCTTTCCTGTACACCCCGAGTCTGCCACGAGATGGAGTCGCCTGGGGGATGAGGTTCGTGGTATATTTAGCTCTGGCGACGTGCAGGCCTCGGAGATAACACATGTGAATAGTTCGGACTCCCCAGGGAGCAGAAAAACGCCGACTTCTCCCTCCAATGAGCGAACTACTTCTAGTTCGTGGTCCCAGTGGGGTTCCCAATCTGCCATCTTTCACATGGCAATGGCTCGATGTAAACATAACGAGTTGTCTACTACGCATGCGTTGAAGAGCGTCTGCTACCAGGAAAAGATTACTCTGAATAGAGTCTATCAAGCTTCCCGCTAAAAAGAAGATTGACAGCTTCATGAACAAAACAGGTCATATATTTAGTTTCCTACAAATCGTAAATTTAAGGTGAAAATTATAGCCATACCACACAAATGATAAATCACAATAAACATCCGTTTTGATTTCATAAACTATAATTGTGCATTTATAATCAGTACCTCTCTAATCTTATTATAGATTTTGGATCCTTTTTCTGTTATGCGTAATCAATATTACAGCGACATTATAAAGCAGGATAAACCTTAGTATTTCTAAAAAGACACATATAAAAACTAAATAGTATGGTCTTTAGCTTATTCTTTTGGATCCAGTCAATTAGTGAATAAATTCAACCACTGAAAAAAATACATTTTTTTAATTTCTAAACAAAAGTTGTGGAAACAATTAAATTGACAACCCTACCTGTATATAACAGGAGGTTAGTGTGGTCGGATCTGACATCTTCGTACATCCGACCAAACAACTCACTACTATCAAACAATTAAATTGACAACCCTACCTGTATAAAACAGTAGGTTAGTGTGGTCGGATCTGACATCTTCGTACATCCGACCAAACAACTCACTACTATAAAACAATTAAATTGACAACCCTACCTGTATAAAACAGTAGGTTAGTGTGGTCGGATCTGACATCTTCGTACATCCGACCAAACAACTCACTACTATCAAACAATTAAATTGACAACCCTACCTGTATAAAACAGTAGGTTAGTGTGGTCGGATCTGACATCTTCATACATCCGACCAAACAACTCACTACTATAAAACAATTAAATTGACAACCCTACCTGTATAAAACAGTAGGTTAGTGTGGTCGGATCTGACATCTTCGTACATCCGACCAAACAACTCACTACTATAAAACAATTAAATTGACAACCCTACCTGTATAAAACAGTAGGTTAGTGTGGTCGGATCTGACATCTTCGTACATCCGACCAAACAACTCACTACTATAAAACTATTAAATTGACAACCCTACCTGTATATAACAGTAGGTTAGTGTGGTCGGATCTGACATCTTCGTACATCCGACCAAATAACTCACTACTATAAAACAATTAAATTGACAACCCTACCTGTATATAACAGTAGGTTAGTGTGGTCGGATCTGACATCTTCGTACATCCGACCAAACAACTCACTACTATAAAACAATTAAATTGACAACCCTACCTGTATAAAACAGTAGGTTAGTGTGGTCGGATCTGACATCTTCGTACATCCGACCAAATAACTCACTACTATAAAACAATTAAATTGACAACCCTACCTGTATAAAACAGTAGGTTAGTGTGGTCGGATCTGACATCTCCTTACATCCGACCAAACAACTCACTACTATCAAACAATTGGGCACACCTTTTCGCAGTCTAAAACAGCGTTAAAATATTATTATATGTGCTATACCAGTGTAACGAATAATACTGAGCCTAAGTTTACTTAGACTGACCTTTACGAAACAAAAAACATCAACAAAAAGAACCAAATATATTCTTTTGTGTAACTTTTCATGACAAATTATGACTAATTGTAAGATTTAAATAGAATTGATAATACGACAGTTACAGCATTTAGCCGTTTAGTACAAGGCATAGACTAACGCTTAGTCCCTGAATATATACAAATTTGATGGTAACAAATAAACCCATTTAAATTGAAAAGGAGCCCTAGAGAGTTGGGAGATTCGGGGGAAATCCAGACTTGCTTCATTTAGGGCTTTAGTACTGCAAGGCGGGCTAAGCATTAAGGAAAATATTGTGGTTCAGGGACAGTGAGACAGACTATACAAGGCAATGTACCCGTGAAGATCCGGGTTAGAATTGATCTTCAGTAACTCCTGCTTGTCGTAAGAGGCGACTAACGGGATCGGGTGGTCAGGCTCGCTGACTTGGTTGACACATGTCATCGGTTTCCAATTGTGGGAAGAAGGCAAGGAAAATACAAAGGAAAATACACAGAGTACGATTTCCCGTCTCTGGCAGCTACGCACGCAGCACAACTCGACCAGAGATCGTCCTAGAATTGGGAGACCAAGGGTGATAACTCCAGCGCAAGACCGCTTCATCCGGGTGTTTCATCTGCGAAATCGGACCGTCACTGCAGCGTACACCGCCGACAATGTTCCTGGGCTGCGTCGAGTCTCTGCACAAACCATCAGGAATCGCCTAAGAGAGCATGGAATCCGACCGATGCGACCACACATACAGGACCTGTTCTGCGACACCACCATCGTCGTGCACGTCTTCAATGGAGCAGGAACGTTCGGCCATGGACCCTCTTGGATTGGAGGAGGATCTGGTTCAGCGACGAGTCGCGGTTTATGCTGTATCGACATGATGGCAGGATGCGGATTTTACAGACGTCGAAATGAAAGATATGCTCGACAGTGTGTTCGTGAGGTCGACAGACACGGCGGCGAAGGTGTAATGATGTGGGCAGGCATATCTGTGAATGAATACTGACTTTGTATCCAATGAAGAAACAGTAGCGCAACAAACCATTTATACACAGACATGCATTTCCAGCTGTGTTCCACCTGAATGCAGGGTACTCTAAGCATTGGGTGGCCCCATCAAGGGAAGAATGCAAAACAAATTCAAAGGAAAAATATGTACTCCAATGAAGAAAAGATCAGCAATTAGAATGCACCCCTTTTTACATCCGTAACATCCCTACTGCAATCAGGAGAATAATGATGGTGGCGGTTATGTTCAGGGTAAATAGATGGCGATTACAACTGTTACTGTGAATTGTTAAATCCTGAAGAAAAACATCAGGTGGAAATAGTTACGACCTATTAAAATCCCCGACCCCGACCCCGACCCCGACCCCGATCCCCGATCCCTGATCCCTGACCCCCGACCTTTTGAATAAAGATTTTAATCCGACATCGATATTTTGAACCAAAATTGTACCAAAAGAAACCACCCGTGAAGGTCCGGGTTAGAATGTACCTTCACCAAACCATGCTTGTCGTAAGAGGCGACTAACGGGATCGTGTGGTCAAGCTCGCTGACTTACATGTCATCGGTTCCGAATTGCGTAGATCGATGCTCATGCTGTTGATCACTGGATTGTCTGATCCAGACTCGATTATTTACAGACCGCCGCCATATAGCTGGAATATTGCTGAGTGTGGAGTAAAACTAAACTCACTCACTCACTCAAAAAGAAACCGGAAGTTGAAAAACATCAATCCTCGAAGATCTGCGTTAGAATTGGTCTACAGCGGCCCACGCTTGTCGTAAAAGGCTACTAAAGGGACTTGGTTGAAGCATGTCATTGTATCAGAGTTGCGTAGATCAATGCTCATGATGTCAGTCACTGGAGTGTCTGGTCCAGATTTACAGCTGGAATATTGCTGTGTGAGGCGTTAAACAAACTAACATGACTGCTTTAATTGTGATGGTGATACGGGTAAGAACTTGGTTGAAATGAAAAGAAAGAATTCCTCGATGTTAATAGCGGGGTGGCACACAAGAAGGGTTTATTCGTTGGTGACGTATTTGACGACGTGTGTCGTTGTGTTTCGGACCCAAGGTGACAGTGTTACAGCCCATTCGTCACCACTCGCCCCTTTCCGTAACCTCCTATTCGGCTTGTCCCGGAATAACACGAGTTGGTCACGAATGTGTTACAGCCCAGCCTCGTTCTCATGTTAAATCCTGTTTTCGAGCGTACACTTTCAAAGCCCGTCAATTTGCAATGCCGTACTCAGTAATATTACAGCTATATGGCGGCGGTCTGTAACTGTTTTAATCCGGACCAGACACTCTAGTGATTGACATGATGAGTATCTACGGAATTTGGATACGATGACATGCATCAGCGAGCCAGGCAACCAGATCCCGTTAGTCGCATCGTGTGATAAGCATCAGTTACTGAAGATCAATTCTTACCCGGATCTTCACGAGTAAGGAAGCTTATGGCAACGCAACGATCATACGAAACGTGTTTATGTTGTTTGATACGTCCTAACAACAGCACCGCGAGGGTGGTGCTGTATTCTGTAACGGTTGTTATCCACATGTACCGCGTCTACGACAAGACGTCATTAATGCATTGGTCAATACATCGACGGTCGGCGCAGTGAGCTGGCGGTTATTACCGTGAACAGATTGCGCAGTGATGCAGAAACCTGGCGGTTATCTCAGCTTCGTTAATTAGCAGTGCTAATGTAATTAGGACCGTTAGCTTTGAGGTGTGAAACAATTGACAGTGCGCTAATTGTCGACTTTTCTTTTGCACCTGCCAAAGCTAATTAGGTTCGAAGCCCGGATGGGACTCAATTACGAAAAGTACTAACATCTGCACTTTACTGAGAAAAGTGTTAGCCCAAATATAATATGTTACATTTGACCACTTTCTTGGGTACAATGTGTGATGCCGTGTGATATTGCTGGAACATTGCGCGTATCAAACCATACTCACACACATAGGGTTAGCCCGTCTCACAGTCCCTGAACCACATTATTTTGCCTACTGCCAAGCCCTCTCGGCAATGCTAAAGTTCGACATGAAGCAAGTCTAGCTAGATTTCCTCAGGTCCAGGCTGAATCTCTGGTCTCCCCGGGGCTACTTTTCAATTTAAATGGGTTTGTTACTATCAAAATTGTATATACTCTCCCAAAAAAGAAACGCATCATGAAAATAGCAATTTCATGTAGCAATGAATTAAAACGTGATTCCTTTTACAAAAGGTTTTGCTCTGTTTATGAGTCCTATGGTGTTTATGTTTTGAAACATCACAACAAAACGCACCATCCGTAAACTACTCGTATTTAACAGCATGGTTTTCAATTTCGGCGTGTAGTGTCACCGAATACACAATTCACATGCAATGCACGTGAAAGTTGGGGATCAGATAGTCTCAATGATGGGTATAAAAG